TCCTCCCCCCTTCTCTCCCCCCCACGCCCACATCTATTGATTCCACGCAGGCTTGGCCAGCCGTTGGAATGCGGGTAAGGCTGGTGCATTGCAGCATTTCCTGGCAGCTCTGGCAGGATGCGTTTTCTAAGCCAAGGAGAACTCTGCCGAGAGGACTCACTAATGCGTGTGTGATTGCTTTGGACCGTATGTGATGCTCTTCCCTGCGTTACAGTGTATGTCTTAGTACCTAAGAGCCTGCCGCAAGGACCCCGTCCTTACTGACCAGGACGAGTGTAAAGAGGCCTGCTTTAACGACCAGCGGCGTCTGGCGGGGACCATCGGTCTGAGGGGGCTGTTGGCCCTGCTCCATGCTTCCTGCAGAACAGAGCCCCTCATGCTGCTTGCTGCCCACTCCACCCACCCCACTCCACACCCACCCAGCCCCGTGCAGGACGCGCAGAGGCCAGGCGCCCGTGGTCTGCCTGCTGCTTCCCCCTTTAGGACTCCCTAAATCAGTGGCTTCCCGCTGAAGGAGTTAGACTGACGACACCTCCTGGTGTGTCACAGAGGCATTCATGTGGAGCACACCCAGGGTTCTCACACACCTTCCCGGGGCTCGGTTTCTCCAGGGCGCTTGGCAGGGAGTCTTTAAAAGGGATCCACCTGAATGTAGCTACTGATGGGCGAGCCAAGTACCCTGCAAACTCCCCAGGGTCGTCTGGTAGCTGGGCACTCGCCTGCGCTCTCCACGGTTTATGCGTGAAAAGTACATACAGTTTTCCGTGGCTCACTGCTCACACATGAGGCCTGCATCCTGAGACGTTGTGCGAAGGAAGCCACTGCAGGGGGCACGGAGGTGCCAGGGCAAGGATGGAGCCGTGTCACACCAGGGGCCTGGTGCATTCTGGTGGCAGGAAGTCTGCAGCCAGGCCCTTAGAGGAGGAGGAGTTCTGGGCAAAGTCAGCAAATGTCCAGGCAAAATAGAAAAAATAACCCACTCCCAAGACAGCTGCTTCTGAGGCAAGTGTGAGGCGTTACATTGGCAGCCGGATCACACAGGGACAGGGGTCAGCCTCTGAGGCACTTAAGATGCTTGTTAACCAAAGGAGCCCCAGGTCCTGTCCACACAGGAGGTGCTAGACGCCCAGGAGCGTGGACAGACCATAAATTGTATTTGCCTGGTCATGTGACCGCAAAAGCAGCCAGACTCAGCTAACCCAGCAACGTGCCGTCCGGGGGAGACGGTGTC